AAAAACCAAATCAGCACAAAGGATGGTTTTTACCTGCAGAAATGAAGCAGCACTGAAAAAGCAGGCTAGATGATTTAGATTTGTCTCAGAACTTAAAGGGGGGGTTGACCTCTGGGTGAAAAAGAATAATCTTTAATATCTCTGAAAAAACAGCAGCAAATAAGATTTTACTTTCTTTTCCCAAATTACCATTTAAAATGCACAAACCTGCATTAAGAAGCAATAACCATTTAGTCTAATTGTTGAGCTTTTTCATGTCAGTGGGGTGGCAGCTTCACACGGCTAAAGCTCCTCCTCCTTGATGATGCGTGCAGGATGTAAACACTGCATCTGAAACGCAGAGCAGGGAACAACCTGCTGCCTGCGGCCTCAACTCACCATCAGGGTTTTCAAAGCAGCTGCTCCCATGTCAGTATTATGCCAACAATTCACTACAATACTGCCATCTAGTGGTAGCATTAAAACATGACAACTAGATATGAGTAAATACTGTAGATCAATGACTTAGAAAAAGTATTTTCTTAATTTCCTTTAAATGTAATATGACTGATAGAATTTGCCAAATGATGCGAAATATTTGGATCAAAGTAACATTTAGATGACTGAAACTGCAGCACATTAGGAATGAGGGTCACTGTAGAGGTTTGAAAAGGAGTAAATCTTATTTTTAGAGGAGTAAAGAAAAATGATTGGGGCTGAGTGTGTTTATGGAGGTTTGTGAGACTTTCTTCAGCCACTGTGGACCTGTCTATACTTAGCATTCTGGAAAACTATTGGGCTGCAATATTTGATTAAATATCCCGGTTTAATAATAGAAGAGCTAGCTGATTTTACTGGATGCATTTATGGTCAAATGAATTATCCCTCCATTAACAACAGAAACCCAGAACTCTTTGAAGGTGGACAGATTCTGAAGCTCATCTTCTGTACAGCTAGAATCATAGAGCAGGTCCTGGTTTACAGAGCCCCCTTAAACTGTGTCATTTCTCTTTAGTGTGAGGAAATGTTACCCGATTGGGTGACCCAGAGACACAGCTCCTCCATTCACATTGACCTTCGCTGGGTCGATGTCGAGCATCTTGATGTTGGCCAGCACCACCACACTGAAGGCTTCATTAATCTCCCACATGACCACGTCCTCCTTCTTCAGCCCGGCTGCATCAAGCGCCTTCATACCGAGAAAAGGTGCAAAACATGCCGTTAAAACTAGATTTTTATATCTATCCTGTAAAAAAAGAGACAGGCCCACTACTTACAGGCTGATGTTGAATCAGACAAAAACATTTCGATTTTTTAAATTCAATTTAAAAACATAGCTTCATGCAGAACGACAGCTAGAGGCCATCAGACTAAAAACAGCCAATTTACAAACCAATATGTTTATGTGACCTAATGCCATGACTTCCTTCCCAGTTATACTAGTTATATGTACTAGTTACTTCTCCCAAAAAGTTATTACTGCACAAAGTAACTAGTTACAAGTAGAATTTGCTAGTTATTGGTCAAAGTAACCATGAAGTTACTTTTTAATGATCTAAAATGCCAAAGAATTTAGGAAACATTCCTTTTATCTGATTCTAAAATAGAACAGGGAGTTTTAGCATGAAAAGAAGAAGCTTGATATGAATGAATGAAATGATTAATTCCATTCACATCTGCAAACACTGCAGCGTTTAGCCGTGAATGAGCCGCAAATATAGATGGAGATATTTTTCTTTGTTTCTAATAAACATTACGGTGAAAAGTAAAACAGGAAGTGAAAGACGTGAAGAGCAAAATGTGAGCGGCAGCTGTCAGTTTACATGATGTGAGGAGCTTCTAAAGATTCTGGAATCACAGGAAAATTTAGAGATCTCATTAGAAACGGTGCCATTGAATTATGGTCTGTGCTAACGACCTGTTGAACACCCGCCCACATTTCAGCTCCAATAAGCTGATCGCCGTCATGTCGGCGATTCTCTGATCCCTGCAGAGGTGATGGCTTTGATTGATCCAGCTAATATCAGGCTCTGTTCAATTTCCTTTACTGTAACATAACCGGTTCTGTATGTGAAAGTTCATAGATCACTCATTCAATGAAACACTGAAGCAGTAACTAACGCGGCCATTATTACTACCTTTAATCCCAGAATAATTAAACAATGGAGTCAAGCTGAGCTTATTTTTTTTTAAATCGGTCAAAGTTTTGATCCAAGAAAATCAGTCTGTCTCCTTTTCCTGAACAAATGAGCAGCAACATAGGAGAGTATTTTCCTTCACGCTTCTCCTTCTATGCTCCAATAATCAATAATTTGCTGAGCATTGTTTGACTTTACTTTCTGCTCCTTTCTCTCCATAGAAAGTACATCTGACACCCAGTTTCAGTTTTCCCACGACAGCTTCCTGCAGGTGGGAATAAGCTGAGATACTTCAGTCAGTCTCTTCCCACAGATGATTTACCTTTAACTCTTCTTGCCTCTAGAAATAAAATGGAGGAGTTATTACTGAGGCAGCTTCCTAACAGAGGTAACACTTATTTCTAATTTGGGGTTTATACAGAAATTAGTAATTCTAATTCAATGCTTTTTAATGCCATTGGAAATAATCTTAAAATCATAATGAAAAATCAATGTATTCTAAAGGGCAATGAGAAGATTTTAACAGCACTAAAAAAGAAATGAAAAACATTGGATCCAAAAAGATATGCTACATACATAATTTTTTTTTAAAGAGGATTAATTGATGTGTCTTTCATTTCCAGTTCTGACTTTACATTTTTCACTTCACTAAATTTATGCCTGTACATCTTTCTTAGAGTATTAGACTCTGTTAGCATTTTAACAATAAGTGTTTTAGATTTATTTTCCACAGGTTTCTGAAAGATTTGGCTATTTCTGAATCTGGAAACGTTGCCTGGAACTATTTAAGGCGACCTTCATTAGCAGCGTGAGCGGCGAGGCACGGCTTTGTTCAGATACCACAGCAGCTCCACATGCAGTGTTGCACTGAATCCAAATATCACTCAAAGACAAGTTCAAAGTGGCGCCAGCTACTGCGGACCTGACTAAATGTCATCTTTACGGTTGACAGGCTGCATCCATGTCCCGGATTCCTCATTTTAGAGCCACTCCTTTTGAAATTTGCTTGACTTTATTGATCTCACAATGGAGAAATGTACTCATTAAATCAGCTCAAATAGTGGAAAAAAAAGGAGGAGCCGAAGGAAGGAAAAGGTGCATGAGATATATATATATATATACAGTATATACAGTGCGTCCACATATGACAGTTTATTTGCTTTTATAGTAGGATTATTACACTGGATTATTGCACAAGGTGGATACAAGGGTATTTATATAGATGGATATTTATATTTATATAGTTATTGCACTGGGTGCCAAATATAGGGAAACAGTTATTGCACTGGGTATCAAAAAGTAATTGCACATTATATATTGCACAATTATTGCCGTTGTAGTGCTGCATTGTAGAGTCTGGTTTCAGCAGGGATGAATACCTGCCGTAGCGCTCATTTTTACAAACAGGGTGTAGAAGTCTTTCACTAAAGACACATATATGTTGAAACTCTTTTTAGAAACATATATATGTTTTTTTTTTTAAATCAAGGGAATTCTAATGCAACTGATAATCACATTTAATGGATTTTAATGAATCACATTTAATAGATATAATCCCATCCAATGCTCCAATTTAAAATAAATTGATTTAATGGCTTCTAATGCTTTTGAGTGACCGTTGGAAACCTTGTTATTACTTAAGTGTTTGCTGTATCTCAACACCAAATTAAGTTCAAGTCTGGAGTTAAAGAGGAGTTTTCGTTTCCTCTGTTACTAAATATATTCCTACTATCAGGGATCCTCCTAACGAGCCTAAAAAGGAGAATTCTGCTCTAAATATCTTTTCTGTTTGACCAGCTGCTGCCTAACAGGCGTCTCTCACCCACCTTTGGTACCGCATACGCCGGAGCGATGGGGAAATCAATGGGTGCAACGGCTGCATCAGCAAAAGCTATGAGGAAGAAAGAATGAAAATCAGAGCGTGCCCATAAAGGATCATTATTAGAGTGGAAGCTCTTATCGGGGTTTAGCTCCTACAGACTATCCTGGCCAGAGGAGAAACGTTGAGTCTCTTTGCAGCTTCTGCCGTCATCAAAACCAGAGCAGCTGCTCCGTCGTTCAGGGTGCTGGCATTGGCCGCCGTCACTGTGCCTGAAAACAACCAGAACTCATCAGAACAACAGAGTGGTAGTTCAAAGATTACTAATGCAATGAAAAACAAAATCATTATCTGTACCGTTCTCCTTCTGGAAGACTGACTTCAGTTTGGGAACTTTGCTGAAGTCCACCCTTCTCCACTCCTCGTCCTCAGAGACCACCACATCTGGTTTGCCTACAGAAGCACAGACGCATCAGTGTTATCCTCACTCTCTGTGCAGAATGGAGATATGTTTCAGCTGCTGCACCTCTCTGGGGAATGCTAACTGGAACGATCTCCTTTGCCAGCACGCCAGACTCCTGCGCTGCCTTGCTGCGGCTGTAGGAGCTGATGGCGTAGGCGTCCTGCTCCTCTCTGCTGATCTTGCAGGTCTTTGCCGTGTTCTCTGCACAGTTGCCCTGTGGAAGTTACACACTGCAGCATCCTGAGGCTGAACAATGGAAGAGTGAGAAGGTTTCTTTTAATTTTTTTGTTTATTACCATGTGGAACTTGTTGTAGACGTCTGTGAGGCCATCTTTGACGATGAGGTCCTCCATCCTCACTCCTCCATACGGCGGCGCCTCTCTGGCCATCACATAAGGCACGTTGGACATGCTCTCCATGCCTCCTGCCACCATCACATCCTGAAGACATACATGGAAACACTTGAGAGGAGTGACTCTACTGAAGCTGCGTCCTGCAGGTGTTATGGGGAACATCAGGAGGTGATATAATCGCTGCTCCATCTCTGCAGTCCTTGCTTGCTTTTTATGCTCCTGTAGATTCTCTCCCTCTGACGTTTGAATCTGCATCTGTGCATTCCTGTCAACCTTTATGCCACTGAGGGTGAAACCGACTGAACAAAGTCAACCATCTGCACTGCTGTGATTTAGTTGCTTTATTTGACAGCTTTTTAGACCCCAGTTGCAACTTTTTTCAAAAAAATCGACTATTGACAAATCTACCGACATTTTTCTGTGCTTGGAGTCTTTGGAGGAAAAACAAAAGCCCTGATCGCTCTAAGTTTACCATCTTCAGTGACATTCTAGTGACTTTTAGAATAGTCGATAGTGCTTTTTCCTTAGTTGCTGCCTGTGATTGGCTACCTTTCCATAAACCCGTCTCTTCAGACGGTTTTCTTCCTGGCTGTGTAGCAGCAAAGCATTTCCAGGCTAATAGCTGTTCTCGTGAGAAGATCATCTCTGACTTCATATCCAGCAGTGATATCTGTCAGTTTTATAAACACAAAAGAAAACCAAGAGTTCATTTAAGCTTCCTCAATATAAAAAGCTAAGCTACTGTCAGGATTTAACTTTAATCATTTCCTGGCCTATGGATACTACTGTCAGCATACATTCAAGACTGTGTAAGACTAAGTTATTTAATGATGACTTTACTAAACCGTAAACCAACATGGAAGGAAGCCAGCGCGAAGTCAGTGTGCTTTATTGTTTCATTCTATTATCTGTCTGAATCCCTCTCACCAGAGCTGCTCCATGTTTATCGAATGTAAACAGAGTTGTTTCTGCTTGTTAGATCAGAAGCGACTGACATGGTGTGTTGACGTCCGTATGTTGCGTTCAATGGTGTCACGTAATTTAGAGGGCCGATCAGAGCTGAAGCAATTTTTTGTTGCGGCCAACACCCCCTTTTTACATCAGCTGTTTGAACGTGAGCATGCAGCTTAACCGCGTGCAATCAATCACGATAAGTTAAGATGAAATTTCTGGTTTGACCAGATGGACTGCAGCAAGAAATAAAAAGTCTTGCCGTTCTACTCGGGCATTTCAAAGAGCTGTGCGAAGTATTTCAAATGTGCTAAAAAAAAAAAAAAAAAATCACTGACTGGTTATTCACCGTTAATGTTTGGGAATTCATGTAATCTATGAGGTTCAGTAACCTGCTTAAATTTCCTTCCGTGGTTAAAATGCTTTTAATATTTTTGATGCATTTTTATGATAATAAAAAGTAAAGGGTCTTAACTTAAAGGTAAAACTATTTTCATAAATGTATTCAATGATAAATTTCTCAGAACCGACTCTTACAAACAATGTGCAATATAGTAAATGTTTGTTTTGCTTGGTTTTGTCTTTTAAGGTTTTTTTTTTTTACCTACTAATAATGATTAACTGTAAATAACACAAGAAGAAAAATAAGAGGAAACAATAGGCCTTTGCAGCGCTTCGAACAACAGTTTGGTCATTGAGTAGAACCCAGTTTAATGTTCTGCTTGGTACAAGCCTTCAACTGTGGGAATAGCACAGCAAAGTAAATCACTTGACAATTTAAACGCGGGTCACTTGACAAGTCGTTTGACCCAGGTAGACACGTCAGTAAGCTGTTCCAAAGGCCACTAAAAGCCAATTTTTCCCGGGTTTAAACGGCTTTTTTGGCCAGTGGGAAAGGGGTATAGATCTCCATTAACACACTATGTGCGTTATTGAAATGAAGGTGCTAGAGAGGTCTGAAAAGTTACTAAATTTAGCAAAAAAAGCATCAAGTTGGGAACAATGTCTTCATGCATGAAATGTTCAAAACGTACATGTAGAGTAGTTTACATGTGAGTGTTTTCACTAAAACTTAAAATTATTCTTTCATGTGTGCCCTTTGGTAGAATTCTAACTTGATAAAAAATGAAATCCCTTCATGGTGTCCTGAGGCTGCATCACCTGGTGTCCACACATCAGACTCTGTGCTGCCATCATGATAGACTTCATCCCAGAAGCGCACACTTTGTTGATGGTTGTTGCTGGTGTCCCCAGAGTCAGGCCTGGAGAACCAAATAGGTTTTCATTTAATAGAAAAAGAAAATGTTTCTCTCAATAATTCTCCAACTTTTAACTTATTGTTATTTCAGTAGTTTGTTCTCCGTTTTATGAAGGAGTAGCAACAGGATCCTACCAGCTCCAAGCAGGGCCTGTCGGGTGGGAGCCTGACCCTCTCCAGCCTGGAGCACGTTACCCATGTAAACTTCCTTCACTTCTTCAGGAGGAATTCCTAAAAAGTCGCAAAACAAAAATCAACCCACCAACTCATTTTAATGCAGAGATCTTCGTTTCAGGATTTCTTTTCTGAAAGACGCCTTGATGAGAATTTAGAGGCCAAAGTCTATAAACCAGCGTTAGACAGAACCAACCGTCTAGACACACCTGCTTTCTCTACAGCCCCTTTGATAGCGACAGAGCCCAGTTTTGTTGCTGGAACAGCTGCCAGGCTGCCTTTGAAGGAGCCCATCGGCGTTCGGACTGCGCTGACAATGACCACTTCCTGCAGACGTCAAATGAGAAACACAAGGGCATTAAAAAAAGGATCCAAACACAATAGTTTATGACGCTGCAGGTGTGCTTACATTTAGAGAAGGCCGTGAGGAGTAGGTTCTGGCAAGGTATTTGTGAGCCTATAATGACAAGATAGAGCATGAAAATTCACAATAGCAATTAATAGTTTATGATTGATGAAGCCTCAGCTTGTAAAAGCTGAGGTTTTATCGATTACAAGCTAAAAATAATCAGCAAAATAAATAGAGAAAAACACTGAATGAGTCTGACCTTTAGCACTTGTGTAAAGTTGATGCATAAAAGCTTTTATTATAGCTTATGTCATACTGTGGATGTTACTGTCTGACCTAGATTAGGAAAGTCTCCACCTTCTGCAGAACCTCCACAACCCAACTTAGATCATGAGGGAAAATGATTCAGTGGATCATCTGATAGACCAGTTTTAACATTTCCATCAAGAACAAATCGACTTTGGTCCAAATGTACTCAATATTGTAAAATATTTCACTGGTCAAAAGAAGAACTGGGAGCCTCAAATCAGACACGAACTTCACTATCAAGGGGTCCTGGGCTCTAAATGTGTTTCTCAGGTTGATAGAGCTGTCAGGTAGTTTACCTTCATTTAATGCTGTTTTATCATCTAATCATGATGAGGATAAATGCAATTAAAGAAGGTGAGCCTCTCTGCTGCTGCTGCAGACCTTTAAAGTTTGGCCAAGGACAAACATTTAGCACAGCTGAACCGTCCTCCGGGCTTCTAAAGCCATTATGTTGCTAAAATGACTTTATCGTTGTTAGCATACAATCAACGTAGTACCTGTCACTTACCAGGCGCTTACAGGTCTGAGCCTGCATGCTTAGCAGTCTGCTGGGGGACATTTTGGACTCAAGAAAAGGACTCACAAATAGAAGCTAGCTTAAAGTCACACAGCGCCCTGCAAAGGGTTAATCATCCATTAGCCAATCAGAGGGAGGGGTGTGTTTAACCCTAACGTCATCGTCGCGATGCATTATGGTTGTTGTAGTTAAATCAAATTACAAATTACTTAAAAAAAAAATCAGCGTTCCTTTGAGATTTTCAGTATTTATCTTAGTTTTAGTAAAAAAGGAAGACTGATTTTCTTAATGGCGATTATCTTTTGATATTAGAAATAATAAAAGGTGCTTCTTTATTGTATTAAAATATACATTAACACATGTTTAAACTGCAAAAAAGACACATCAGAATTTGTGATAATGAAATTATATTATTATATTATTATTTAAAGCTCAATTCGGTTTATTCATTGTGCACCAAAGCAAAACACGTCATCTCAAAGCTCTTCACAGGAACATTTCTATCTGATCATCCAGTCAGATTGGCAATATATATATATATTTTTACGTATCTATTGAAAACCAGTTGATGCATCCAGAGCATATGGGGAAAGTAGACATTTGTTTTATATTGCGTCATTAACTCTTCAGCAATCGCTCACACCAAGCATGCATGCAGCAACAGTGGAAAGGATCATCTCCTTTTTAACACAAAGAAACTTCCAGCAGAACCAGGCTCACTGTGAGCAGCTTTCTGCCAAGGCTGACTGGGGGTTCAAAGAAAAAAATAAGACATACAAAAGTAATATAGAAGCAGAAATAAAGCATTAATATGTACTAAAGGATTGCAGTAAACTAGCTCTATAGGTCACTCTGTCTAGGAAAGACAGAGGGTTAAGCAGGTAAACTCTGAGCAAGTTTTCATTCCAAAAGGGATGAAGGGGAGCACAGTTAGGGGTTGAACTAGTAAATACAGCAGAATTGGAGAATAGAAATAGAATGAGCCAGATTAATGAAAAGGGGTTCCCATGTCCTCCAGCACTCTACGACTATAGCAGTATAACTATAGAGATAGCTGAGGAGAACTCAAAAATAGAGGTTTTAGGCCTAGTCTTAAGGTGTCGCAAAAACAATCCAAAAGAATAACTAAACTGTGAAAAGTTTTGAAAACTGGGGCTGCACAGTGGGATAGTGGGTAGCACTGTTCCCTAGCAGCAAGAAGGTTCTGGGTTTGATTCCAGGCCTGGGGCCTTTCTGCATGGAGTTTTTATGTTCTCCCTGTGCATGTGTGGATTCTCTAGCTTTCTTCCACATTCGAAAAATATGACCTTTAGATTAATTGGAATCTCTAAATAGTCCTTAGGTGTGAGTGTGTGTTTCAATGGTTGTATGTCTCTGTGTTGTCCTGCGACAGACTGGTGACCTGTCCAGGGTGTAGTCTGCCTCTCGCCAATAGACTGCCGGAGATAGGCACCAGCCCCACCGGGATCCTGATGGAATAAGTGGGAGAAGATGGATGGATGTATCGACTTTAACTGGATGGGGTGGATGTCAAGTCCTCTTGATCATCTTTGCCAAGAGGACTTGTCTCTCCATCTCTCCTCCTTTGGTCCAAAAAATATTAACTCAGTTTGGTTTTTATTCAGTTCTAGAAAATGATGGTGCATCCACCTATTGATCCGTTCTAAGCATCTATCCTCTAGTGTTTACAAGTAGCCTCGTGGGTAATCGATAGAAACAGACAACAAGAGTGGATCATAGGAATGGCCTTTATTTGATTTATTCATTTTTCTTTAACTATACAAGCAAATTTTGTTTATTCAAGAAAGTTTTTCTAAATGAGATTTCACTCATTCTGGTTTCAGCAATGGACTGACAATGCTTACTTCAGTCATGGCACCTCAAGGTCAGCAGGGGTAGCTGTTTTACTTAAAAACGTTCCTCCACACTTAATCTCATACTCTGCAGATAATCATGGGCTCTGATTGATTATTGTTGACAATCTGAAATTGGATTTAATGAAACATCTTTAGCTATAATAACATTTATGAAAACAAAAAGCTTCAGGATTTGATCATGACATACCGGTACTTGGAGATTTTGAAAATTACAGATTATATTGAAAATATAAGAATTGGTGGGGATTAAAATTTTGTTTAAGATTATTTTTATAAACATTTCCCAATATATTTATCCAAAACATGCTAATACTATTTTGGATCCTTTCTGCAACCAACTTTATTTAACTGATACTTGGAGACATCTGAACCAGTGAGTAACTCAGCTCTCTTGGTTTGGTCCAAATGATCTTCTAAAATCTACAATTGACAGTGGATTATCTCCAAACTCCTATTAGATAATGACATCAGTTCCACAATATTTGCATCCCCCTAACTAACCATTGTTTTATTAATATAAATAATAAAAATGAAATAAGAACTTGATTAAATAAGATCTGAAAAAATTATTCAAGTTTACTCAAAAATGATACGTATTGTCAAAATATCTGATCACTGATTCATCAAACCCAGACTTCAGAAAAATCTAAGTCTGCAGTGGGAGAATCTTTTCAAAATACCAAATCAGAAAATAGACATTTTAATTTAGAAAAAAAAAATTAAAAATACATTTAAAAAGAAGGATAGGACATTATCAATCAATTGAATCGTTATTTCAAAAAATGCCATAGGTGACAACAAAAAATGTTTTGAGCGTTCAGCCACAGTTAGACAAAATGTATAATCACAAAGCTCAATGAGCTTTTTGTAGCATGCTTGTAGTGACAGTGGAGAGGAAAACTCCCTTTTAACAGGAAGAAACCTCCAGCAGAACCGGGCTCAGAGTTAGTAGCCATCTGCTGAGGCCGACTGGGGTTCAAGGAGACAGAAGCAGACATACAGAAAGAAGCAGAGACACAAAAGGCAACTGTCAACCAGCTCCACAGGTGGCCCCATCCAGGAAACATACAGCCAGGCAGACGAGCTCCAAGCCAGCTCCCATGTCAGAGGATGAAAAAGAGCACATCTAGTTAGTCACAGTCAGAGAGATGGAAATACACTGAAAAACAGACCAAGCTTTAATATCTATAAACAAAGGTGTTGATGGCAGCAGCATTGTTGATATTTCTCACAAGGATGGAGTCACAGCCAAACAGGAGCAGACAAGATGAAGCTACTATGAGAAAAATCAGAGAGAGCAGAATGTTAGAGATTGAACTAACAGATTCTGCAAAGTAGGAGAATAGAGCTAGAATGAAGCACATGTCTAAGCCTATAGCAGTACAACTATAGATATAGCTTAGGATAGCCTGAGTCACTCTAACTATAAGCTTTATCAAAAAGGAAAGTTTTAAGCCTTGCCTTAAAATAGACAAGGTGTCTGCCTCAGCGACTAATACTGGTAGTTGGTTCCACAGTAGAGGAGCCTGATAACTGAAATATCTGGCTCCCATTCTACTTTTAGAAATCCTAGGAACCACTAGTAAACCTGCAGATTCAGAGTTAAGCTCACTGTTGGGAACATAAGGAACAATCAAATCTCTAATGTAGGATCAAGCTTGGTTATTTAAGGCTTTATATGTGAGAAGGAGGATTTTAAATTCTATATTGGGTTTAACAGGAAGCCAGTGAAGAGAAACTAGGATAGGAGATATATGATCCCAATAAACCTATTTAAGACCCAAGAATAACAGAAAACAGGAGGCTAGGTTACTTAGAAACATTGACTATAAATTATTGACATATTTTTTCTACTGATATTTAATCATGTCTATCTAGTATTACTTCTTGGAGAGAAGTCTGGACTCTAAATAGATCTATACATAGTAATATATGGCGTATTATGGACATTATTGAATGTAGAGAGCTTATTAAAAATAAAGGCTTGATAATCTGTTTGGACTTCTACAAGACTTTTGATTCCGTTGACATCACTTTATTCTGGCTGTACTTGAACTATTTGGCCTTGAGATTAAGTTTAGAGAGACTATTAGCAGACTCAATAACACAGTAATATGTATTCTTCCTAACGGTTCTAGTTTTAATTTTACATATAAAGTTGGAATTCTGCAAGATTGCTCCATGTCACCTTATTTATTTATTTTAGCGACATAAGAATTAGCTATCTATAATAAAAACAAACAAGACATAATGCCTTTAAATGTGATGAGTACAGAAATTATAATCAAACGACTTGCAGATGAAACCACTCTATTGCTAAAAAAATAAATATCAGATCACACTAGTAATCCAAACAAAATATATTTATTTTTTTTCCCTTAGCGATGACTTCAAACTTATGTGAACTTTTTTGTTGTCATTGATACTCCCATTAAAGAAATTTGTAGAAATCTTATTAAATAAGAAATAAATATCTCAGCATTTACCTAACTAAAGACCAAAAAAGAAATCAGGTACTTTTTTTGTATGTGTCCTGTTTCACCAAATAGCTCTGGGAAAGAGTGGAAAAAAGATTGGAGGGGGGCCGGTGATGTATGTGAATGAGAGATGGTGTAATGCGGCTGCTGTTTACGTGAAAGAACAGATATGCTTCCTGGAGGTGGAGCTACTCGTGGTGAGCATGAGACTGTATTGTCTTAATAATAGTCTCAACGTGATTGCATCTGCGTTTACCCCCCCGACCCCCCCTCCACGGACGTCATAGCTGCGTGCGAGCAGATCAACGGCACAGTGACCAAGCTACAGATATAGCACCCCTCTTGTCCTGCTCAAAACTGGAGATTTCAATTGAGCCTCCGTTCCACCCTCCCCATGCTCACCCAGTACATCTCATATAAAACAAGGGACAATAAAACCCTGGACCTTTTTTATGCAACGCTAAAGATGCCTACACCTCTGCCCCCCTTCCCTCCACTAAGAAGCTCTTATCATAACTTTGTATACCTGCTCCCTCACTACATACTGTATCAGTGGTGAGAAGGACAATAGTGCAGACAAAGTCAGTGTGAGTTTGGTCAGATTAGGCCGCGGAGAAACTGAGAGATTGTTTTAGAACCACAGACTGGGGCATATTACCAAGCTTTCATGGTTATGACATCAACAGCCTGACTGAATGTGTAACTGACTACATGACCTTCTGTGTGGAGGGCATGGTGCCTAAACAACGGCTATGGAGCTTTCCAAACAA